GGGGGGGGGGGAGAGCGAGAATTTGGAGAGGAGGAACTCACATCGTAGGCAACCTTGAAATGCTCGAGCGCCTCGTCTCCCTCCAGGACCCAATCGGCCCAAGATTTCAGGCCGTAGGACATGCTGTCGACGGAGAACCGGAAAGTGGAAACGGTTATTAGCGGGAAGGGTCGAGGAGGAGAAGGGGGAGAGCGCGATCGCACCAGCCCAGAATGACCTGGAGAGCACCTGGCCTGGTCAGTGACCCTTCATGGAGGCGTGTAAGAAACAGTGCGCACCTTGGAGACCTTGAGGCCGCTGTTACCGAGTCGCACATACTCCGTCACCTTCTCCTCGAGTTTGGCAGCGGGCATAGCGTAGGGGTTGTCTGGGGTAAGGCTGACAGTGACTATAGCGCGCGGAACGAGAGCGAGCTGTTGGCGAGCTGCCTCGAGTGAAAGGAAGGAGTTCAAGAGGCGAAGTGGAGCAGCCGAAGAGGTCGGGTGGAGGTTGACCCGCCGACGCAACGTCAACAATGTCATTCTCCTTCGCATTTGTGCGTGCATGCCCTCGTATAGACCAGAACAAAGCTGACGAACCATTCGCAGGACATCGACGCGGCAGAACTCGACGACGAGCTCGACCTCCCCACCACCCTCGACCAGCTCACCCTCCGGGACGACGCAGGCCCGCCGACGGCTTCGACGAGTGCCGTACCTCACCGAGAGGTCCTTTTGGAGGAACTGGTGTGCTCAAATCCCTCATCGCTTGACGAGGCGAGGAGGTTGACCCGGATTCTTCTTTTTGGCGATCAGGTGTCGACACTCCCGCCGTTGCTCTCGTACACGCCCGTGACCATCCCACTGAGCGCCAATGGCTCTCAAACCGCACGCCATACCACCCTCTTCCGCCGCGACCTCTTTGACGCGCGGTTTCAGGTCCTGAACCAGGACGAGCACGATGAGGAGGATGAGGCGCCAAGCAAGGGCAAGGAGCGCGAGGAGGTGTTCGTGGACGAGTCTTCAGACCTCGTCAAGGGCGTCTACGAGGGCGGGCTGAAAACGTGGGAGTGCTCGCTCGACTTGGTCGACTGCCTCGACCAGCGAGGATATGCTATCGACCAGGACCTGAGCACGCCTCGTTTGCGCGGAAAGGGCATCCTCGAGGTGCGTTGCATGCCTAACAACTCGGTGCAGCTGCTGACCCGCCTTGTGCAGGTCGGATGCGGAACGGCTGTCCCGATTTGCGCTCTCTTCGCTCGCTTGCTGAACGAGATTGCCAAGAACCCGACTGAAACCGGCGCGCCTCGACCACCAAAGACGCGGATACACGTGCAGGATTACAACAAGCAGGGTGCGTGGTCTATCGATGCTGGATGAGAAGGACAACAAGCTGACTTAAACGAAACGAACTAGTCTTGAGCCTCATCACCCTTCCGAACATCCTCCTCACCTTCGCACAACACCTTGCCGCACCCACAACCGCACCCGACGCCGACGAGGAACCTCCCGCCGAGCCCGAAGCAGGCGGCCTCGAGGTCACGCCCGAATTCCTCGACTCGTTCGACGCGTTCCTCGAACAGGAGAACATCGACCTGCGGTTCTTTGATGGCGACTGGGCGGGAATGGACGACGCGGTGAAGAAGCAGGAGGAAGGCGGCTACGATCTTGTCTTGACGAGCGAGACGGTCTACTCGCTGTCGTCGCTCGAACCGCTGCTGAACCTCCTCGAAGCGGCGACTCGACGACCGGCATCCGCGGACACGTCGGAGTCGCTGTGCTTGGTGGCGTGCAAGCGGATCTACTTCGGTGTCGGAGGCGGCGAGCTCGAGTTCCGGCGAAGGGTCGAAGAGCGAGGCGGGCAGGTCGAGACGGTATGGGGCGAGGGCGAGGGAAAGGGCAAGACGAGCGGTGTAGGGCGGACAGTTTTGAGCGTCAAGTGGCGGCAATGAAGGTCGCTCAGGGGTGCGTGAACAGGATGAGATGGTCTTCGAACGTCGAGAGGACCGACTGGAGATGCTTGCGCGAGAGCTGGGCTCGGAAGCGGATCTCGTCGAGGTGGTGCCGACCGTTGAGCATGCGTATGATCCTGTGCCGCCCGAATCAGCACGAGATCTGCGCAAGGAAGAGAGGTGTGCGTACCGCTCAAACTTGTCGACGACAAACTTGTCCTTGTCCCGGCACATCTCGCTCAACCACCTGCTCTCCAGCATGGACGGCCGTCCCGGTTCGACGATGACAGTCGGCGTCAAGGCCGTCTCATCCGGCCTGTCCGAGTGCGACGAGTAAGTCGCGGTCGACAAGCCCTTGCTGCGGTGTCCCTGCTGGCTCCTCGGCGTCCTCGTCCGTCGCATCGACATTGTCGCGCTCTTCGCACTAGAAGAGAGAAGCCCCTCGCGAGGCGAGAGCGGGTCTGCCGCGCCGCTGACCACTGTCATGCCCCTCGCATCGTCAAAGTCTGGTCGGACGGACGACTGCCTCGCCGACCTGCCGCCGCCTCCGCCTGTACTGCTATGCCCGTCGCTCCGATTCGTGCCAAAGCTGTGGTCGCTAGCGGCGCTAGCGCTCGTACTCAGCATGCCGGCGTCATCCGGCCGGCTCGACGAGACCGACATCCCCTCCGTGCCGCTGACGCCGCTCTTGCCCGGACCCCAGTGCATCGACGTAGCGCGCTTGATCTCCTCCGAAGCGACGATGCGGACGTAGGTACGCTGCTTCTCGACCACTTCGTGCTGCAGGAGCCAGACGAGGGCGTTGAGGTAGGATGCGCGCTGTGCGGAGCGAACGATCGAGGCGAACGGCTCGGCGGGCGAGAGCTGAGAGAGGAGGACGGGAAGTGGCGGTAGGGCGGGAAAGGTGTCGCTGAAAGAGGCGACGAGAGAAGGGAGTCTGCGAGAGGCAGCGTCAGCGAGAGGCTTAGGAAGACTGAAGATCTAGTCGCACCGCTTCACCTCGAACTCGGCACTGACGGCGTACGCCCCTTTGAGCGAGACGAGGTCGACGACGCGGGCCTTCTTCCAGTGCACGAGGTGGTCGACGATGTCTTCAAGCATGTGGTCCTCCGAGTACAAGTCGAGCAGAGTCTCGTAGTCGGCGAAGCTGAGGGTCGGACGACAGATGTCAAGGAAGCGCCATAGTAGCGAACCCTCTAGGACGTCTCGTTGCAGCAGTCGCACGTCCTCGAGGAGGAGAAGCGTCTGCCACGGCTCGAACTGGACTGGTGGGCGGCGTCGCATGGTCGAGAAGATCGGTGCTTGTCGAGTTCGAGGGAAGGCGTGACCGCTCGGAGAGACGCTGCGGTTCCGTCGCTCAGGCGAGTCCGAGTCTTCGCCCCTGTCGGGGAGGAGATACTCCTCGTGGTCTCGCAGGTCGACCTCGTCGTCTGCCGGCAGCTCGCCACGGAAGAGAACCTGGACTGGCAGAGGACCGAAGTGGACGGAAGCGAGCTTGTTCGCGCGGAGAGAGGTGTAGAGTTGACTGATGGCGCCTGCGAGGGAAGATCGGGCGGGAAGCGTCGCGAGGAACTCGTCCCATGGCGTGTCTGCGGGTCGAGCGTCGTCAACGACAAGAAAAGCAAAACGAAGACTCGGACGCACCCTTCTCGAGCGCCCCTTCACGCATCCGCCGCAGCTTGGCCGCCTCCTTCGTAAGCCATGTGTCCTTCTTCTCGAGGGCTTTGATGTTCGCCGTGACTGGCACGACAACGTCTTTGTAGTACCCCTCGAGGTGACTGCTCAGATGGCTGTCTGGCGGGGTGTCGATCACGCAGAGGAGATTAAACGAGACAAGGCGGCCGGCAGTTGCGAGCGAGTTGTGCGAGTGCTGAGACGAGGCGAGGGACGTTCCAGCGTGCAGCGTCGACGCCGAGGAGTGGCTGTGAGCGAGTGCGCCGGGTCGGCGAGGCGAAGGAGAATCGTCGCGCTCGGGAATGAGGAGAGCGCGAGCGTGAGGAGGGAGAGATGCTTCGCGGCTGGCTGGCGGTCCGACAGTCTGGTCGCGGTCGACTCGGCGCGCGTCGTCGTCTTCTTCTTCTGCAGCTCCTTCAGCCATACTGCCCTTCCGCGACAGCCTGCTCCGCCCTCGCTCGTCCTCGTCGTCCTCCGTGTCCGCTTCTCGCTTCTCCTGCTCGCCCGTTTCGTTCGCCGCTCCATCCAGCCTCTCCCTCGGTCCCTCATCGTCTCCTAGCCAGACCGGATGTCCCACGAAGGCGAGGTGGTCGACCACGAGTTCGAAAGGCTGATCGCACAACTCGCGACTGGGCGTGAGGAGCGAGGCGAGGACAGGGTCGGGGAAGCCGAGGTACTGCTTCGAGTCGGGTCCACGGTACTCGTCGTCGTCCGACTCGCTCGACTCGTCCGAACTCGAGCTCGACTCGTTGTAGTCCGGGTGAAGCGAGATCTTGCGCCGTCCGAGGTACAGCGGCTTGTGGGTCCGCGGGACAGCCTTGGGCACGCTCGGATAGCCGTACACGAGCTGTGCGCCTGCACTCGACTTGGCCACGAGCAGCAGCGCGAGCAGCGACGCCATCGCCCTCGTCAAACCCCCACCTCCTCTCCTTGCCCCCCTCCCCTTCACTCGTCGCTGACTTGGCTTGCACTCAGCACGAGCATTGCTATCTAGGCTCTGTGAATTGGCCATGCCCGCGGAACAGGTGCTCGTCGTCGGGGCTGGTCCGCTTCTCCTCCTCCCTACCGACCTGGCCTCGCTGATCTTGACTCATGGACTTTGCCCTCTATAAAGGCGTGATTGGTCTCTCCACGGGAATCAGGCTGTTAGAGGCTGGCTACGAGGTGGACATTGTTGCCCGGGACTGGCCTGATGACCCAAAGACGATCGACTTCACCTCTCCTTGGGCTGTATGCGCATGACTCCCTCGTTCTTCCAAACTTTCGCCGACTCACCTCTCCCTGATCAGGGCGCGCACCATGTCGCATACGGAACGGGCGCCGACATGCGGCTTCACGAGCTGGAGCGGACGACTTTCGCCGCGATGAGCGACATGATGCGCAAGGATCCGTCGGTGCCGCTTCACTTTGCGTCGCAAGTCGAGTACCGAGAACAGGTGCGCCGTGCCTACTGTCTCTGGACGCCGGGAGAAGGAGCTGACGAGGATTTTCACCTGCAGCCACGACCGACAGGCAAGGACGACGAGCTGAGCCAGCTAGGCCTGATATCGCGCTACTACCCCGACGTGCGTCGTCAGCATTCCCGCCACACCCTTTCGAAGCTGACTCGTTGTCGCTCAGTTCCGCTGGCTCGAACCGCACGAACTGCCCGACGGCGTTTCGTACGGCGCCGCCTTTACCCACATCCTGATTGAGACGCCAGCATACCTGCCCTACCTTCTTCGACGCTACAAGTCTCTCGGCGGCCGAACACGCCGCTGCAGATCGCTCAGATCACTCTCAGACGCCCTCGCCGTCCACCCTGCACTCGCCCGCGCCAAACTCCTGGTCAATTGCACCGGCCTAGGCGCTCGGACACTCGTGCCCGATCCTGCTGTCTACCCGACTCGCGGCCAACTCGTCATTGTCCGCGCGCCGTGGATCAAGCAAGGTTACATGCGGAGCGGGCCAGCGCGGGAAGAGAGGCCTGCGACGTATACCTACATCATCCCGCGGGTTGAGAGCGGGACAGTGGTACTCGGTGGGAGTGCAGAGAAGAACAACTGGTGAGTCCGCCACACCTCTTTAAGAGACCTGTTCTGACCGTTTCGCGCGCAGGGATCCGACGCCCGGTCCCGAGCTGGCCAAGGACATCAAGACTCGCTGCCTCGCGCTGTGTCCAGATCTTCTACCGCCTGACAAGCGAGGCGGAATAATAGACGACCTCGACGTCGTCGAAGACGCGGTCGGCTTGCGTCCAACGAGGGACGGAGGAATTCGTCTCGAGCTCGACAGCCTCGAAACTTCGCAAGGCAGACAGCTTCCCGTCGTGCACAATTACGGATACGGAGGGTACGGCTATCAGACATCCTGGGGAAGTTCGGACGCAGCGGTTGAACTGGTTCGACAGGCGTTGAGCGGGACGAGCAAGCTGTAGACTCGCGCAACTTGCATCGCAGGCTTTCTCGGCCATCTCGCACAGGGTCATAGATCTGCAGTGTTGTACGCAAGCCGTAGCAACGTCTCTTTAACTATTCCATTGCTCGACGACACCCCCACCTGCGCACCTGCTCGCTTCCACCGCTTCCCATCACTCGCAGCAATGAGCTCGCCCAGCTATGTGCCGTACACGCCAAAGCGGCACGCTACGAACAACTCGATCACGTCCATCCACCAGCTAGGCAGCTTGTCGACCCCTCCTCATCACGGCCCCTCACCGCTCGGAGGACCTGCCTCGTCCTCACGCACTGCGAGCGGGCTTGTTCGACCTGCCGCAGCAAATGCAGAGAGTTCGTCGTCACTGCTGAAGGCGCCGCAACCCTCGCGACCCGCTTTACCGGCCCAGTTCAGCGGGCTGTCGACGGTCAGCGTCGCATCGAGCGGGACAGGCGAGGGCTCCGCGGGACCATCTGGCGCGAGCAGAGGGCAATCACAGGCGGGACGGCAGGCGTACGACGTGCGGCAGGCGAGGTCGCCGCCTCCAGCTCCCTCGAACCGCCCTACCCCACCTCCTTCGACCTTTCCCTTTGCCTCTGTCCCGCCAGGCCAATCCCCTTTTCCTCCCGGCACGCCCGACCGCTCTTGGTCTCCTGAGAAATCATCCAGCAGTCCCGCACCTTACGCGAATGGCACGAGACAGCCGCAGCGAGGCAAGATGCCGTACCAGGCGGGTTTTCAGCCTCACGGTGTCCGGCGGGACAGGAGCGACGAGTTCTTTCAGCAGAGGAAGAGGTGTAGTGAGGCGAGGAAGCTGGACGAGGGCAGGCTCGAGCGGCGGCTGGAGAAGGTGCGCTTCTTTCGCCCGTACTTCTTTTCGCCGTGTCGCTGATATCCTCTCTGCAGCTGGTCGCGTTACACTTTCCTTCGCCCGGTACCGAGATCAAGGAGCCGACCCCGAAGGACTCGACGCTCACGACAATCACCTCCCTGCGGGATACTCTGCGGAATCGAACGGCGAAAGAGCTTTGGCGGAGCGTCGCAGGCAATGTCGACGTTGATATCGAGCGAGGTGCGTCGTCGCGTTAGCGTGCTCTACACGTGCGCATGCTAACGACTCTACTTTGCGGTAGCGGAACAAGCGATCGTGAAATGGCAGGACGACAAGGACGCGGTCCGCTGCCCCATCTGCACGTAAGACCGCCAGTCTCTCTCTTCGGTGACTCACGCACTGACTCCTTCATCACACAGCGCTGCCTTCGGGGTTCGAACACGACGGCATCACTGCCGACTCTGCGGCCGCGTCGTCTGCTTCCTCCCGCCGACTCCAATCTCTCAATTCCCCGAACCCGCCCTCCTCGAAACAACCGCCGACAGACCTCCCTCTCCTCCCAAACCAGTCCGACGCGAACGATGCTCGACGTTCTTCACCTACGAATACCAGCGACTCGGCGACGGTTCGAGCGGGGAGAAAAAGCCTTACGGAGTCGTGGTGGAGGTTCCGCCTGTCGAGCAGGACTTGTCGCTTGATGCGGCGATTGGAGTGGGTGCGACGCAGCAGAAGAAGGAGGAGGACAGGCGGAAGAAGGTCCGGGTGTGCAGGGATTGCCTCAACACGGCTCTGTGAGTCCTTCTCCTCCTCTCGACAAAGGTAAGCGTGTTCACCGAGACCGTCTTCGCAGCCGTCTACAGATGAAAGTCCTCCCCATCCGCACCCCGACCTGGCTCAAACTCTACGAAGTCCTCGTCGAGCTCGAACACGAAATCAACGCCACCCTCCCCTCCTTCCAAGAACTCGTCGTCCTCCTCTCCAACCCTTCCGCCGCATCTCAGTCCGCCCACCCGCCTTCCGCAAACCATGCCAAAACGCTTCGGAAACGGCTTTTGACGGATTTGGCGAGCTACGATACCGTCTCCAAGCGGATTAGGGATTTGCCGCTCCCGCCGGATGCGGTGCCAGGTGGGTCGCAGGACCGCCTACAACGGGCATTGGCGAATCGAGGTGCGGCGTTCCTGTCGGAGAAACTTGGGCTGTTGAGGAGTTTGGGCAACGTCGAGGAGTTAGGCGGCGGCGGTGGGGGAAAGGGCAAGGGGAAGAAGAAGGACGGGAAGGGAGAGGGAGAGTATACGGTGAAGAGCTTGGCGAGCTTGTTGGAGAAGGAGGGGGTGGAGAAGGTGAATGAGAAGGTTGGGCCGGAGTTGGAGGCGATGGCGAAACTCAACGTCTTGCGCGAGTGCGTCCCCTACTTTCTCCCTCTCGATCTCTTGGGTGAAGCTGACGCAGCTCGGGGTCGATCAGACAAGAAGCGCTCGTCAAGTCGTATGTCGACGACGCCAACGCCCGCCGACAGTTCGAAGACGCCGCGGCTCTCCAAGCGAGTCTCGAGGAGTTGCGCGCCGAGATCGCGGCTGTTAGCGCGACGTTGCCGTAGACGCCGAGTCTCTCGGCCCGTTTCGGTCGGGAAGGAATAGATCGGTCGTTATGCGTTGCGTGATGAAAGGCTCGTAAATGAGTGAAAACAGAAAGCGCGAGAGAAACTAGAACTCGACCATCGACTCGAACGCGCTCGCCGGCAACGACTGCGTCTTGCCCCATCCTCTCCTCAGACCCGCCGTCCGCCTTTGCGCGGCCGCCCCTCTCGGCGCCGTTCCAAGCGGACCAGGCTGGTCCTCCCCCTCGTCCTCGACATCCGTAGGCGCCATCTCCTCGTCGTCCTGGCCCTCCGCCTCCTCTGTCGGCTCCTCCTCCTCGAAAGCCCGCTTCAAACGCTGCGTGACGGTCCTGGTCGTCGAATTCGACCCCTGCGACTCGTCCGCCTCCCCCTGCCGTCCTAGCAACCCAAACGACAAAGCCGTCTTGCTCGGCCCGAACGCCTCGTCCAAATTGAACCCGTCTCCGTCGGCTTCCTCACGCTCGACATCCATCCCGGGCGCTCCAAAGAACCCACTATCTTCTCCCTCTACTGCGCGGGCCGACGAACCATCCTGCGACCCCGTCTCCCACATGGGCCTCAACTCGTCCGCCCTCTTGACGCGCGGGACGGCGTAGACCGAGTCGAGGATCTCGCGGCTGGATTGCCAGGGTGCGGCAGTGGAGGAGGAGGGGGCGAAGGAGAGGTGTGGCTCGGTTCGGGAGGGGCCGAGCGGGCGCCGAGAAGGGAGGGATGGGGCGGAGAGTGAGGAGGAGGAGGTGGTCGAGTAGCCGAGGTTGACGCCTGCGTGCGCCTCTCGCGCGGGTCACTCATGTCATGCGCGTCGACGGGAGCGTACGACGCACCTGCGCGCCCCTTGAACGCGCTCAGCCTGATCTCCTCGGCCCACGGAGTGCGCGCCCGCTCCGCCATCGACCCCCTCAAGTCGTTTGGGTCGCGGCGACTTGGGACGTCGTCTGTGCGCGCATAGGTGGGTTTCTTGCTTGGGGAGGGGAGGTCGGCGGTGGCCATGGCTTGTGTGCGAGCGTGAACGAGAGCGAACGCGAGAGCAACGAGCAACGAGCGTCGCGTTGGTGCGCGGGCGAGGCGCGCTCGACTTTCGCTTCGAAAGGGTTCGCTAAGTTAGGAGGGTTAACTTAACTGACGTGGGCAATACAAAGTTGATTACAAAGTTGCGCTTGAACTT